CAGAACTCAGTGCAACAATTCTCGTTCAAGCTCTACTAGGTCGTGCGGAGTCAGCGCAGTTCTGAAAATGACAAAAACATTGAATAAAATAGTTTGACAACCAAATTGTTATGAAAAATTGGAGTTTTCTAAAAAATGGAGGTGATTACTTCGTGTGCGCATTTCAAGTAAGTGGTTCGCGGTCAGACTTGAAAAGTGCTCGAAAACCTCATCCTCCTTGATACGGATTTGCAAGTGCATATTTGTCGGTGGCTGAGCGCTCCCATCGATAATGCATTGAAATTTGTTGCCGCTGTTCACGTTCGAGTTTCTTTTGTTTTTTCTTCATACTATCTTGCCCCATGCCCTTGTACCACCAAATAAATATCATACAAATACTGAATCCATTTGTTTTTCTTCTTATTCCCAATGATTGACAATCCACCAGTTTTCAAAGATGTCAATTTCTCATAAGGCTTGAAAATAGAAGTAAACTATGTCGAAAATAGTATACCTATTATACTGACCTAGTAGCTTATTTGTTCTCCCAATTTTGATTCTTGATGATTGAAGTAAATCAGGTGCCTACTAGTTTGTGAAATCATTTAAGAGAAACTCACTGAAGATATAATGGTTGATACATGCACAACTTGATTCAGTCTATCCTTAAGAATATCAAGTTATAGGTAATTATTGTCCAAATTCAATTCTGAATTCACCAAACATCTTCCCTAATTCTTGAGCTAGGAGTGAGTTGAGTTGTGCATGAATTTAGCATCAGTAATGAATAAGATAAAATTAACTTAGACTAGAGAACTCATTACTTCATTTTACGTAACTATTACCTATTCTAACAAAATAATTCTCAAGGAGCAAAGAGTGTGTAATCTCTGGTTTCGATTCAAGGTATAGGAGGGTGGGTGAGGGTGATCAAGGGGAAGTATCTAGCGAAGCAATAAGGCAAAATGTATTCCATTTTCCAATTGATCACATGGATCATGTGATTTAAATAACATGCACAACGCACGCATGCGCGAGCCTACAGAAGTTATACAAATAAACTTGGCAACATCGCAGAGCGAAGAAAGTCATGACATTCTGATATGCAGCGCTGAAGGGATATTCTGAAAAATATAATTTCATTTCTGTAGGTAACATATTTTTCACATTTAATAGCAGCTCTGGAAGGACGATGGAGAAATATAATTTCATTAACATGAATGAGATTATATTTTGCACAATGTCCCTTCAGAGCTGCTATGAAATGTGGAAAATATTTTTTTCACAGAAATAACATTATAATTTACATAATCTCCCTTCAGAGCTGCTATAAAATGTGAAGAATATTGAAAGGCAAATATTTTACCATGTTCCTTTAGCGCTATCGTAGTTAGTTGAAGATGAATTGGTCGTAAAAAATTATCATAAAAGTGACATAATTCTTGGGATCTTGTATTCATAACATAATCATAGTTACGAAGATGCTGTATAATGAATACGTTGGTGTTTTATGTGAAACTGTCGACACTGTCATATGAAACATTGCTGTGAATTCATGAAAATTGACATTTTAAAGTTTTGTATCTACGATCCACAGTAAATTGACGCCAATTCCAGGAGAATAAGTTGTGAATAATGCAATATATGAAATTGACAGCAAATGTATGTGAATATTGCAAATGTGTTTACAAGATGTAACATTTTGTTCTGATTATTTTGGTGATGATGAATCGAATGTTGAATCTATAATATGAAATATCACTCAAGAACCAAAAATTGCTTTATCAATCTCCAGAAACTCATGATCACTAAATATTCAGAAGAACTCTAATATCTTTACTCTGTATATACCGGGTGGTCCATTCAAGACTATCCACCCTCGATATCTCCCAGAATAATTATTCAACAAAAAAATGACGAAACAGGTCGATTTTTATTTGGAGGGGGACACATTTTGAGGCAAAATAAATGATCCATACTTCAACCCTCTACTCTCCAGAGCAACCCCCTCAATAATTTGAATAGGGAATAAGGGTCGTGTTATACATCATTGGAAAGGTGATTAAATTCGGAAACTAGCAGTGCAAAGTTTTTTGAATTCCAACAACTCGTTCTCGAGATATTCGCTTTCGAATGGTATGTTTTATAATTGTGAGTAATTGAATGTACGGAATGAATTAATGAATGGTCATCTACAACAAATGTTCGAAATCACCTACATTGACTTCCAGACAGTGGAAGAATCTATTTGTAAATTCCTTCCGCAAATTTGAAATATTCCTCTAGTTATTGTCAGGCATTCAACCCTAATTCATTTTTCTTATCGTCCAGATCAGTAGATTCCGTCTCATAAATAACGGATTTTGGTTGACCCCAAAGGAAATAATCATTGGACACCATGTCCGCCAAGCGTGCTGGCCATTTTATTGATCCTTCACGACCTATTCATTTGTTTGTGAAATTTTGGGGTAGCCATTCATTCACGTGTGATACGGGAGGTGACACATATCTTGTTGAAACTAAATATTATCTGCCAATAGATTTCGACTACCATCATCATAAAGGTCCGTAGCGGACCATTAGAATAGACAGCACATCTGCCGGCTTGGCACCCAATGATTTCCTTTTACGAAGTAATTTGAAATCCCTTATCTATACAACCATACAACGAAACCCACTGACCTGAACGATGTGGAAAGAAGAATAAGGATCGAATGCCAGATGAATATCTTCAAATGTTTAAGAAAAAGAATGTGAACCTTGTTGGCTGCCTAAAGTATCTACTGACGGATATCTACCGATTTTCAAACCTAAATTATTTGCTCACCGAGTACACGTGTTCGTTTTTTTTTGCCAACATGATTGAAATCGGTGAAAAACTTATTTTCCGACAATTTTTTTCTGAATTTGTGAATTCAGTGTTGAAACGAGAAATGACCACGCATTTCGAGAATTTTACTTCTATCACGATGGTTTACACGAAAGACGAGGAAGTTGAAATAATTTTTATTTTGCTGTTCAAAATGAGTGTGCACGAGCAACAGCTCGAATTTTCAATGAGCAGCACGAAAATAGAAACGTAACTCACAAGTGATTATCAGAAATACAATTTGTGGGAAATATGATGAATATGAAGAAATTGATGTATTGAAAGAAATACGGTGAGAATTCGCATTATCTTTGTGATGAAAGTATTGATTCTCTCTCGGTATATTCAACAGAAAGCAACTACTTTCCCGACGACTTATATGCCACGACGAACATTGAATTTGAACACACACGATAAGAATTTGAAGAATAAAGAATAAATAAAACCGTCTGATGTTGAGAGTTAGTATTCTCTTTCAGATAAAATATCATGGAACATACATATCATCATTCTGAATATACCGAGAGAGAATCAATACTTTCATAACAAAGAGAATGCGATTTCTCACTGTATTTTTTTCAATATTCCATTTCCAAAAAAAATGTGAATATTACTTTTTTCATTTTAGATATAATTATCTTGGATCTTGTAGCGAAATTTCGGGAGACTGGATCAGTTGCCAATGAGAAGAGGAATAGGATGCATCCTGTCACAAATGAAATCAACCAAGTAGAAGTTTTAGGACAGGTTGCAGTAAATCCTACAATGTCTACTCGACAACTAAGTAGCATCACAGGAATTATCAGAATTTCTATAATGAGGATGCTGAAACAGCACAAATTTCATCCTTATAAGTTGAATCTTCAGCAAGCATTAAATGAGGATGACTATGATAGACGATCTGAATTTTGCGAAAATATCACGACAATGATACAGAGGAACCACGAATTTATTAAGCATATTTGCATTAGTGACGAGTGTTCATTTCATTTGAACGGTTTAGTAAACAGACACAACTGTCGTTATTGGAGTCAGAATAACCTTCATCTACTGAGAGAAGAGCACACACAATGGCCCCAGAAGTTGAATGTGTGGGCAGGGATTTTGGGTAATACAATCATTGGACCAATATTTATCCAGGGTGATTTGAATGGTATGGCCTACTTGGATATGCTTCAGAATCTAATCGAACCACTTATTATGGATGCTGTCAACACTGACCTCGATGATGATGGTAATCCAAATCTATTAGCAGAAAATATTTTTCTTCAACAGGATGGTGCCCCACCTCATAACATATTGCAGGTGAGAGAATGGCTATCCTAGAATTTTCCAGACAAATGGATTGGTCGTAGAGGACCAATAGAATGGCCTGCACGCTCACCGGACTTGGCACCCAATGATTTTTTCCTATGGGGTCATTTAAAATCTGTTATTTTCAAAACGGAACCTACTGACCTCGATGATTTGGAGAGAAGAATAAGAACTGAATGCCTCGCAATATCTAGAGAAACATTCTCAAATGTACAAGAGGAATTTTCAAATAGACTCTACCACTGTCTGGGAGTCAATGAAGGTCATTTTGAACACTTGTTGTGAATACCTGTTCAATAATATCTATTTTGTACATACATTTACTCACAATTAAAAAACATACCATTCGAACTCGAATATCTCGAGAACGAGTTGTTGGAATTCAAAAAACTTTGCACTGCTAGTTTCCGAATCAAATTACCTTTCCAATGATGTATAACACGACCCTTATTCCCTATTCAAATTATTGAGGGGGTTGCTCTGGAGAGTAGAGGGTTGAAGTATGGATCATTTATTTTGCCTCAACATGTGTCCCCCTCCACATAAAAATCGACCTGTTTCGTCATTTTTTTGTTGAATGATTATTCTGGGAGATATCGAGGGTGGATAGTCTTGAATGGACCACCCGGTATATCCTACCTATGAAAGGTACGATACGCACGATCTTCCTCGTATATAATAGTGATTACCTTCCGTGTGTCTGAGAGATGGAAATCACAACTCATGACCTAATAATTGACAATTCGTTATAAAATACCTAGTGCATAATGATGACATTGCAATCAAGAATAGACACGAAACTAGGTGCATGTTATTTTTAAATGATAGATGTAAACGAATATAGAATGAGACGTTTCATTGTATCGACTTAAATCAATTCAATCACACAGTATCACAATTCACACCTTGAATTGATCTAGAAATGTGTGAAATCAATGAATTCCCAAGTGTTGAAAAAGCTCTGCTTCAGTTACCCACAGGGGATTATGATGTAGTTCACGGTTCCTTATGCGGCAAACAAACATGGTGAGTGAAAAAACAAACAGCTTCAGGAATTTATAAACTTCAAAGGTTCAGAAAGAAGCAATACTTGCCTTCTCTCCTCCACTCCCTTCCACCCCTAGGTACTCTTGATATTCATCATATGGATCCAATTCCGTACGCTTCAAATGATATGGAAAAGTCTTGCATCATTTATCGAATATTTCCGATGATTCGAAAACTCATGATGAAAGCTGTGCATGAGTTCATTGAAATTTTTGAATGGCGTATTGAGACAATTCAGATAATATATGCATCATGAACTTTTATCCAGAACTGCTTCGTCTCGGAGATACAAAGTGTTGAAATCGGTTTTTTTTTTCGTTTTCCCGAATCTTTACAAAATAGTTTCCCACATAGAACTTGGTATCCAGAAATATTTTGAGGTGGAAAATCATAATTTCGTATTGATTACATGAAGCACACTGAGGGCGTTGCGTACGCTGAAATTTTCATGCAAAATTTCGATTACTTTTGTGACAGTGAACTTGTGACACTGCTTACAGAAAAAATTCCTCCCACACCTCTCTCGAGTAGAAAAGGTACACTTCCTCATCTACATAACAGGTAGAGGTTTTCGGACAGTTCCCGCGAGATGAACCCGTCGAGTTAAGGCTTCGCACCCCTCCGTAGTCACTTTGGAGACCTGCAGAACATCTCTTCGCAGAGACTCATTCATCCAACGAACAGCGAGGCTCTAGAACCAGTACCAATGGAGGTGTTTCCCGGAGCATTAAACCTCCAAAAATTCAAAAAGAACACCAATTTCTTCCTCATCTCCCCTGGTTCTCACGATGTTCTCTGAACATAACAGGATCTCCCTTTTCATGGGAACCAGAACATAAACAAAAAAGTTGTGTTGCATTGCCGTCGCATAGTGGAGGAAGACAAAAATCCGTGAACTGAAATATGATATTTTTCTCGTATATAATGGGTTCTTTTCTTCTGTGACAGGAAAAAAAATAAATCGATGTTGATGAGATATTATATTATATTGAAATCAGAAGATTTTCGACGTGAAACTTGAAGATTTCAGCAGGAATGACAACTGCTTTGCAGGGCCCTTTTTGCAGGCATCTTTATCACTATTTCGAAGTTATCAAATATCTGCCATTCTCATTCTGTGATCTGATTATGTGCAAATTGCGAATTTAGTAGTTGTTTAGTAATTTTCGTCACCGAGGAGTCGAATGGATGAAAGTAGGACTTGCAGTTCTTTCTAGGAGACAGTGTTATTGGCATATTTTTCGGAAATATAGCACAGGAGAAGAATTTAACACTATAATATGTGATATATATCCAGAAAAATGTGCTTATTTTCTTCCCGTCAAGAGAAAGTAATTTATGAAGTGTCACATTTTATAACCTGACAATTGAGATGAAATCACTAACTTTTTTGCCGTCTCAGAAAAATTTTTATAATTTCCTCTGTACTCACAGAGAATATGAGGAAAATTATCGACCTTGAATGGAATTTCTGGATTTGTACCATGATACTCAACCTGTGATCCATCATATCTCACTACTCGAATGACACGAAGGCCCTCATCAAGCCGTCGGCGTTGGGGGTTGAGTGTGCTGGGTCAACTGGAACCCCACACAGTTGACAGTAGTCAGGAACACCTGGAGAGCTGGACGCTTGATTCTTCGTTCATTCTAGAGCAACTGAAATCTGTGTTGAAACTCCAGCTGACAGGTCCACAGGCAGCCATCAGAACAAGCTTCTTCCACAATCGAAGCTGAACCAGGATGTTTGTCCTAAACGACTGGGTATTGAGGGTTCAGTCTCTGAAGCGACAAGAATCCCTAGGAATGATGGATAATTCATCACACACAGAGTGTTGGGAGCCGTCTAGGCTGGAAAAGGGTAGTCGTGAGTTGTGGAGCAAAACACTATATACTTATCAACTCAATTTAATCATTGGAGATAAAAACTTCACAAACGATATGATTTTCACGAAATTTGATCGTTTGTGAAGTTTTCACATTTGCCATGGGCCGGTTCAATTCAAAACATTGGTGATTCATTGGCGGAATTGGTACATTGGTTGAATTGACAAAAGGTGGGATTCGGAATGAATATCCGACTGCAACTGCCTGCTCGTGGCTTGGTCGAGTTTATTTGAAGAACATTCGAGTCACATCTATTGATTGAATGTTATATATTATATAACATTCTCTAGATGTTATGTGAAATTCACATAACTCACTTGTAACCTAACCCCTACCTTACTATGAAAATAGGACCTATTATGTAAGGATTCTAGCTACTCATCATTGAATAATATTGATGAAACTACTCGACTTATATCTGAAATGAATATTACGATTCCACAAACTACTTCTTCACCACACCATTTCACTTCACAAGCATATGCACATATTCATAACTGAATTATAATCCCAATGGGTGATCTACACTCTGCACATTATAATATTGTTACGTTATTCGGGTGCAGAATCTAAAACGACACTATTTATTTTCGAACTGATTTATTTGAACTGGAGAAACACTAATTTATATCGAACTTATAACTACTATTCACGTAAAACGATTTATATCACGCGGTACATGACTGTCTCTCTGACACTCGCTGCTTGACTGTCTGACGTCAGTTGTCCAGCCGTTCATAATATATGAGATCCCTTGGTAGGCTTCGCTTCTCGAAGGTTCTAGAATGATCTTCCGTACCCTTCTTCTGGTTCTAGAAACTTCTTATATCAATACCTCTCTCTCTGATTGTTTCATCAATCATTTCCAGAACATTCCTGAATCTTCTGTCTTGTTATATGTCCCACCGCATATATTGAGTGTTCGGAAATATGCTGGTGCATGTAGAAATCATTGGGAGGTTGAAGAACAATCTGGGATGCGTGTTACAGGAGGATCGTTGTACTCCTGTCCTCCTGATGATGTTTCAAAATTCCCTCTGAGGGAAATATCATTACAATATCTATACTGATATTACTGATGATGATATATGGTTATAGAACTGTTCATATGAGTTGGAAGTGGGCTAGCATGGGAATGGAGTTATTATGCAATTCTTGATTGTGTGGGAAAACTGTAATAGAGACAGTTCAGTAATAAAATGCTTGATGGTAGATTATCTCCTATTTTGATTCTCTGTTTCGAATATTAGACATTATTCGATCAAGTATAATTGATCATTCGCTCACTGAAATACTGAAAATCTCCGAAAAAAGTATATGCATACCGAATACGCACAAAAAATTTTAGACGATTCGGTCGAGCCGTTTCGGAGGAGTTCGACCACTAACACCGTGACTGGAACAGGAGAATTTTATATATTAGATGGTGCTCTTGGTGAAACTTGATACGGTGTACCGTTTTCGGGATATTTCGATCTAAAAATGCTGAAGTATAACACTGATGCTAGTTGGAAGTAATAGGTATTTTGCAAGACTGTTACCTATTTATTGAAAACCAATGAGATTATTCTCACGTGCGAGCCATAAACTGATAATTATAATAATAAATTTAACTACAACATATAATATTTCAATCAGTGAGTGTTCCAATTGTAATCAGTGAGTGTTCCAAATGTAATCAGTGAGTGCTCCAAATGTGTTAGTCGCAAATTGTTGTGTCTGAATTATCTTTAGAAAACTGACATTCATTGTAATGTCAATAACATCGATTTATTGTTGATAAATACGTCGTTCAATAATCAGGATGCACTCAAATGCTGAATGTTGTTTAGCGGTTACGCATTATGCCGAAAGGTTTTTCAGAAGAAACCTACCGAATAAGAACATGTTCAGAGCCATAGAAACGTTGTCGAGAAACTGGTAATGTGGGAGTTGTGAGACCAAGAAAAAATAATTCTGGTAGGCCTTAAACAATAAGGTCCATTCGGAAAAAAATAATCATTTTGAATTAAGTTGATCAAGATCCAACATTCAGCTCCAGGAATATGGCAAGACAAACGAATACGTCATCTGCAAGTACGAGGAGAATACTGAAGGAGCAACAGCTACATCCTTATTATTACAGACAAGTCCAAGAGCTCTTGCCAGACGATCCACCAGTCAGAATAGATTTTTGGGAAACTTCACAAGTAAGGACAGCTCTCATTCCAAATTTTTCGAAATGTATCCTTTTCACCAACGAAGCCATCGTTACGCGACAAGAAATATTCAATTCCCATAATGCACACTACTGGTGTGACAAAAATGCACAAGTTTAAAGGGTATCACATTACCAACACTCGTTTGGAGTTAATGTCAGGGCAGCAACTTTCGGTCAGAATTTGATTGGTCATCACATTCTAATGAATAGATAATTGTTTTTATAATACTTATTCTGATACCAGAACCAGAGTTATTGTTTCAGCATTTCATCGAAATATTTCGATAACGGTACACAATATCAAGTATTACCAAGAGCATCATTTTGGTGTGAAATTGAATGGTGTTCAAGCTCACATTGAATTTGGACTGAAAAATCTAACCTCAAAAGAATTATGTTCAAAAGTACTCGGTACGAACCGTGTAACAAGCGCCTTCTATGAGTGTCAGATATGGAAACAAACTCATGCGGTGTTTCAGCTTTCAGAACACATCCATTCAGAATTCCATCACAATGTTGCCAGTAGTCTCGACATAATCGTGGAAAACGTGTAGAAAAATAGTTTTTCAACACCTTGTATCTTGGAAACGAATGCCGATATGACATTTTCTCACTGAGCAATCTCAACTCATTTTGCAATGTTCTACCTACCCTAGTAAGGGGGTTAGGTTTTTTCGAAACACCCAGTATATAACCGAATAATAATATATTGATTAATCTCAAATCTCTGACTCTGATGCTTTCCCTCTGCCCATACCAGGAACATGATGCGGCCATTTCATTGGTGAACAATAGGACAACGCCCCTAAATGCATGCAGTACAGAATTCATATCATTGGATTTCGCCATGAACTTGTCCATGAAACAGAATGGAATAATCGCTGACAAAATG